ACCCCAAATAAAAAAAAAAAAAAAAAAAAGGTGGGGGCAACTGGGTGTGGGCCCTGTTTGGAGGCCAGAAGAGACCCAGGGACAGAGGCAGCGGGGAGGGAAGAGGGAAGGAGGAGGCAGAAGCCTTGCCAGGGACTGCGGGGTGGTCTCGGCCTCAGCCAGGACAGACCCCTCCCCAGGGGGCTGGGGGGGGAGAGGGAAGATTCAAGATGAGGTTCCGTTTTTCAGAAGACAGGGAGCTGGTGGGCATTGGGCGAGGGCAGCTCAGTTTTCCCCTGGAGGCAAGACAGGGCTTGGGCAGTGGGAAAGCCTGATCCCCGCCTGCTCAGGACCCAAGAGCGAACCTCGAGCCGTGGTGAGCCCACCCAGCACGTCATCGCAGCAGGTGGGCCGGCTGGCTCAGTGACAGCCCTCTCCGGGTCGCCCTCCCTAGGACTCACCCCTGAAGGCTGTGCAGATGCTCTGGGTGAACCTCATCATGGACACGTTTGCCTCGCTGGCGCTGGCCACCGAGCCACCCACCGAGACCCTGCTCCTGCGGAAGCCGTACGGCCGCAACAAGCCCCTCATCTCCAGGACCATGATGAAGAACATCCTGGGCCACGCCGTCTACCAGCTCACCCTCATCTTCACCCTGCTCTTTGTGGGTGAGTCTCCCAATGGCCCGCAGCCCTTGGCAGCAGGCCCCGCCTGCCGGTGCGCCCTGGCCCCGACCCGAGTGGCGCACCCACCTCCCCCTCCCGCTCTGCTAGTGGAGAAACGGAGGCCCGGGAAAGGGAAGTAAGTTGCTCAAGATCACACTGAGAGTCTGGCCAACCCCGAAGCCGTCGCCGGTCTTCTCCACAGAGGGCCCCAGCCCCGAGCACACACCATGCCAGGCAGCGTGCAGGTGTGATGAATGCGCCCGTGACAGCCCCACAGAAGCCCGAGCTTTGGAGGGGGAAGGGCTTGCCCCTCCCGCCGCCAGCGCCCATCCACACCTTGCCCTTGTCCTGTGGAAAGTCTCCTCGCCACAACTTCCTTGGGGAAGCGTCGCACCTGCCCGAGAGCCACTCACTGTTTGCACGCTGCTTCCGTTTAGGCTGCCTTGTGTCGTCTTCTAACCCCGTGGTGAGGCGAGCCCCTTTGCCTCCACCCCACATGACAGATGAGGGTACCAAGGCTCAGAGAGGGGGACAACTCGCCCAAGGGCACACAGCCGGTCTGAGGAGCCTGAATGGAGAACCAGGTGTGGCAGGGGCTGAGCCTGGCCTGGTCTCCACAGATGCTTTGGAGATGATCCTGGCAAAGCCCACCCCCGGGTCACAGGTGGGGGAACAGAGACCCAGAGCGGGGAAGGGTCTGGCCCACGGTCACACAGTGAGTCTGGCCGTTGCAGCGTCCTCAGCCTGGCACAGGCTCCCTTCACGTGAGCCTCCGGGAGCCGGGCTTTCGGAGTCCCGTGGAGGTGGGGCACGGATCCTGTTCCTTGAGGGACAGTCGTCTTCTGTGCCTTTGGAAGGAAAGGTGTTGTCGAGACACGTTTTACTGCCGTAGAAATTACCACGCGAAGCCTTAGAGGAAGCCACATAAAGGCAAGACCAGAAGAGTCTCTCAGCGAAGGCGGGTCCTGACCCGTGTGCTAGTGTCGCACTGGAGCGCCACCTCTTCTGGGTGGCCTTGGTCCCACGCGACATGGCACCCCCAGACCACTCCACAGGTCCTCCCGGCACCACTGTACTCAGCTTTGCCAAAGGATATAGGGCCTTGTCAGACAAGCCATTGGCAATGTCGCCCCCCTCACACCCCTGCCACCCCATGTGACAGCTCAGGTGAAAGAGGATGAGACCACGTGGGTGGCTCTGGAACTGGACTGGCCTAGAAGCCCCAGGTTCCATGTAGAACTCGCATCTCCTGTAACAGCCCCATGAGCCTCCAGAGGGCTCAGCAAGGGTCACGCTCAGCTACAAAAGCAGCACCAATGCCATGGCCTCCCACGGCCATTCCTGTCCTCCCAGCCAGAATGAGTTTGCCAGTCTGGGGGTCCTTTTCACAAGCAGTGTCGCCTGGTAGCAAGCTGGCTTGCCGCCTTGATCATACGTACACAGGAAAGGCAGAAGACAGAGGAGAGCGGGTCCGTGAGCCCCTTGCTCCTCACTGACCAGCCAGCAGCACAGGTCCATCCCATCCCCCAGGTCCAGGCCTGCCTTCCCATCTCGGTGACTCAGAAAAGCCCCCCCCATCCCCTGTGAAGGGCCAGGCGCCTCCCTCCCCCATGCCGCGTCACCACCCCCGCCCAGATGCCACCCTCTGTCTGGCAGGCGAGAAGATGTTCCAGATCGACAGCGGGCGGAACGCACCACTGCACTCGCCACCCTCAGAGCATTACACCATCATCTTCAACACCTTCGTCATGATGCAGCTCTTCAACGAGATCAACGCCCGCAAGATCCATGGCGAGCGCAACGTCTTTGACGGCATCTTCCGGAACCCCATCTTCTGCACCATCGTGCTGGGCACCTTCGCCATCCAGGTAGCCGGGCCCCCACCCCGGCGGGGCTGGGCTGGGCAAACACCCGGAGCCCTCCGCGCTGGCCCTGACGGCCTGCCTCTGTCTCTGCTCCCCTTGGACCTCCAGATAGTGATTGTGCAGTTTGGAGGGAAGCCTTTCAGCTGCTCTCCGCTGCAGCTGGACCAGTGGATGTGGTGCATCTTCATCGGGCTGGGCGAGCTCGTCTGGGGCCAGGTGAGTTCCAGGCAGGGTGCAGGAGGCGCCTCTTGGCAGGAACAGGGGGAAAGCGCTGGACGGGAATCCGGGAGCCCCGGGAATGGGTCTCGGCTCTGTCACGGACTCGCTGCCCGACCCGGGCAGGACCCTCCTCATCTGGGTATCTGGCAGTGGAGGCTGGCCCTGGTCTCAAATACTGGTCCTCTGGGCAGGGGGTGCCACCACGCTAATTTTTGCCTTGTGTCTGTGAACCACTGCTCCTGTTAGTTCTTAGCATTTTTTTCAATCACATCCGTTTTCTTTTCACTTGAAAAGGCAATGTCATGTGACTAATACAACTGGAAAATCAGGATCATAGAAACTAACAAAAATTAATGTGATGAGAATGATATTAAATTCCAGCTAGGTGCCAAGGCCGCCCAAGGCTCAGAGCCTGAAGTCAGCTTGTTAGAAAGGGAGATTCTTCAGGGGCTGCCAGTGCTGGCAGCTGCTGCCACCAAGCAGGCCCTTTCGAGTGCTCTGAGGGAATCGAGAGGGACACAGTCTGCCACATTGCAGCGTGACTCAGTGCTGTGTCATCTGAGATACACCCCAGCTCCGGGACCCATAGACTGGATGCTCTCTGGGGCCCTTTCAGCTTTGACCCCGAAACATTCTGCCAGTTCCCTTCCCTACATTTGCCCAAGTTCCAGGCACATGGGTACAGAGGTACACACACACACACACCATCACACCTCTGAAAACTTGCAGCTCAACACTCCTGACCCAAGATACAGCGCTTGGGAGAAGTGACCAGAACCAGTCCTGGGCCAAAGCGGCTTTATTCCCAAGGTGCTCAGCTCTCCAGGCCGTGGGGACCCCAGTGGGCCAGAGACCTTGTTCTAGCCTTCAGGCTGTCCCCAGGCTAGAATGAGAAGCTACAGTGGCAAAAGTTAACCAGAGGATAAAGAAGAAAGTCTCTCTTCATCCAAAAGGCCCTTCTTTAAACTTCAGAGCTTGTTTGTAGAGTTCATAAGCTACATTTGACTTATCAACCCCACTCCCTGGGCACCCTCGGGGCCAGGCCATCTGTATCCCCCGGGCCACTGGGGCCTACACCCCAAGGGAACTCTCGGCATCTGGGGGAGTAGACTGATAAGGACTCGGGCCAATGCCAGTGGGTAGTGTTGACCTTAATCCCCAGGGAACCCCTGAGGCCAAGTGTTCGGGCCAGCCTGTCCACCCCTACAGGTGATATCTGCCACCTCAGCTTCTCTGTGAGGCTTGCCTCTCAGGCCTCAGCCCCACGGACAAGCTCTTTAGGGGAGGACTAAGAATGAAGGCTTATCCCTTGCTCATACTGCCTTCCTAGTCCCAGGCCCTGAGCTCCTGTTCCCCAGGTTGTTTGCCCCAAGGCCCGGCGAGTGGGACCGAGCCCAGGAGACCTGGGGACCAGCCCTGGGCCAGGCCCCTGCAGGGCAATTTAGACACTCCACCTTGCTCAGTCCTCACCACTCTCAGAGCTGCCCCCAGCTTCACAGATGAGGACACCAAAGCTCAGGGAGGCTGAATGACAAGCCCAGGGTCAAGGTCATAGGACCAGTACTGTCCAGGGCATTCAGACTCGGTAAGGGGGTAAGGGAAAAGGAGGAAGGCAGGGGCATCAGGAGGGAAGAAGGCTGCCGGAAGGACAGTGCCATCATCCTGACGGCCTGGGTCCCTCGCAGGTCATCGCCACCATCCCAACCAGTAGGCTCAAGTTCCTCAAGGAGGCAGGCAGACTCACCCAGAAGGAGGAGATCCCGGAGGAGGAGCTCAACGAGGACGTGGAGGAGATCGACCACGCCGAGAGGGAGCTGCGGCGGGGCCAGATCCTGTGGTTCCGGGGCCTGAATCGGATCCAGACTCAGGTACAGGAGGCTCGGGGGGCTGGGCCCAGGCCTGGCCGGGCGGGTGTTGGAGGTGAGTGTGCTTGTGCCCCAGGGGCCCGGCTCTGGCGCCGAGGAAGGGTGGCCACGGAGGGGACCCCGGACCAGCTCTCCCTTTCTCCTCAGCCACGTCTATACCCATGATCCTCATATGCATTCTCATGGCTGCTGAAGACAGAGCCACCTCTTCGGGAATGTCCCACCACGTCCTCTCAGTCCTCAAGGGGACGGCAGGGTGCATGCCCACCACAGGTCTCCCGGCGGAGTCCCCTGAAAGGGTGGGGAAGTTGGCCTGAGGGCTGAGGGGACTGAGGGGCAGTGCAAGGGGACTGAGGGGACCGAGGGGACTGAGGCTCAGGGCTGGCAGTGGCCACTGGGAGGGGCAGTGCAAGGCTGGACAGGAGCTGCAGGCCAGGGTCCCCCGGGTTCTCCCAGGGCCTGGCGGTCAGCCCAGTGAGGTACACATGCACACATCCTCTGCCTCCACAATGGGCTTCAGACTCTGCCCCTGCCCCGCCCCTTGGGGTGTGGAGGAGGCCTGGGGGCTCACAAACACACGTGTATGCCAGGTACACATGTGAAGAGCACGCAGAAGATTGCGTCCCCAGAGCAGAGAATGCATGGACGCCACGGGGCTCATGACACTCTGTGTGACAGACACACACACTCACATGGGCCCCTTGTGCCTGGGTTGGTGTAGTTCACAGCTGCTGTCACCGCCCTTGAGGTGAGACCAGACAGGGACTGTGGGTCTCTTGCCCAGACCACCTGGGAGCTGGCGCTAGGCGCTTGCTCCGTCACACTTCAGGGAAGTGCTGCATAGAGCTGCCTACCTCGCCAAGAGTGGGGTTGGCACCTCATTTCCAGCCAGGGCAGCAAGTAGCCCTCCTGGGCGGCTTCCCACCCCTCAGTGGCTGGCCCAAACCTTGCCTCATCTGACCTTCACAGCCCTGGGAGGTAGGTATGACTTCCCCCCACCACCCTCAGTTTTAGGGGTCCATGTGACAACCCTTTCTGCAGCGCTGGCACAGCTAGGACAGGGACTGCCTGGCAGGCCCAGGCTCGCCTCCCCTGACCAGGACCCGGCAGCCAGCCTTCCCAGCCGGCCCCAGGGCAGCTCTCAGCACCTGTGGGCCTGGTGCTGTCACTGCCCTGGCTGCAAAGCCACGCAGGGGTCTCCAAGTGATGGGAGGAAGCAAGGACTGTGGTTTCTTGAATGGACGTTAGCCTGTCTTGCCTGTCTCTTAACTGAGCACTAATGGGGGCCAGGTACTCTGCCACCCACAGATAACCCTGCCAGGGAGGTGGCATTGTCCCCCCTTAAGGACAAGAAACTCAACTCAGAGAGGTGGCTTACTCAAGGTCACCTAGTTAGTAACTGCCAGAGATGGAATTTGGGCCAAGCTCTGTCCATCTCAGGGCCCCACCACCCCACTCTGGCTCCACGCCTGGACTCCAGGGAGACCAAACACCACCTGCTTCCCTCCCAACGCCATGTTTAATCACTACCTGCCCACCAGCCTTGGCCAGCCCACTGGCTCCTGAGCCACACTAGTGCAAAAAAAGGCCAGACCCCGGTATCTACCCTGGGACCCTGGGGCCTACAGCTGGGCCCAGAGCTGAGTAGACCTCTTTCAGAGCCTTGGAGTGTGTCTGGTATTTTTCATTTTGATTTAAGTGACGTTGTCGTTGTTGCCGTGGCTGCGGCTGTTCTCGTGACGTTGCGCCTGTCAGTCGTGTTGCTGTTTGTTCGTTCTTCTCGCAACTTGTCTCGTTCTCTCCTCCGTTGCAGATTGAAGTAGTCAATACTTTCAAGAGCGGGGCCTCCTTTCAGGGGGCCCTGCGGAGACAGTCCTCCGTCACCAGCCAGAGCCAGGACGTAGCCAATCTCTCTAGCCCTAGTCGCGTGTCGTTGTCCAATGCTCTTTCCTCTCCGACCAGCCTTCCTCCTGCTGCAGCTGGGCGTGAGTGTGACTCCTTACCGCCTCTGGCTGGCACCGCAAACGCCAGCTCCCGGGCGGGCAGGCGGGCAGGGGCTGGGGTCCCGGAGGACACGGGGGGCCGCCGGTGACTGTTAGGCCCAGGGGGCTGAAGGTTCACAGCCATTGAAGAGGGTCTCGGTTGGTCAGGCGATCATGGCCAGTCATGGGGTGGCAGCCACTCAGTGGACCAGGGTCAGCCGGGGGCAGGGCCAGGGGTGACAACCAGTCAGTCAGGGGGCCGTAAGGGTCACAAGTGGCCAAAAAGTCTGGGTCAGTCAGAGGCTCACCATTGGTCGAGAGGCTTTCAGTGATCAAGTGCTCCCAATCCACCACAGGGTCCCAATGGCCAAAGGGAAGCAGTCTTCGAGGGGACACAGAGTGTCCCATCAGTTTAAGGTCATACTTGGCCAGGGAAGGCGTGTCCCACCAGGGCAAAGATGAGAGTTGGACAAGCGTTCACTGTCTTGCAGTCAAAGTCTGGTGAAGGGCCACTGTGAATCAAGGGGTAAAAGCCCCTCAGGGCATCCCAGGCAGTCACAGCGGGGTCCACCTAAGAGAGGGGCCACATCATCCGGGGTTTCCCAGGTGGTCAGGGAGCATCCATCAGCTGTGGAGGTCACGGTCTAGGAGGATGGGGGAGCCGAGAGGTCACTGCCGGTCAGAGGTCACCATTTAGTCAGGGGTCCCAGGCCACCGAAGAGATTACGGCCTGGAGGTCCCACCCACAGCAGCTCAGAATCTCTGCCCTCTTCTGTCGTTCCTTCTTGCACATCTAGAAACACTTCTCCTTGAAGCAGAGGTTGGAGCAAGCTGACGTCCTGACCTCTTCCTGGAAGGGGCGTTCGGCTTGAATCCCTGCCCTCCTTTACCTGAGGGACAGCCTGGGACTCTGGCCCCTCCTTCCTCTCCCTCACCGCTGTCACACCACCGCTTCCGACCTAGGGCTCATCACTGACAGCCTAGATCTTCCCTGGACCTCTCCTGGGTTTCAGGACCCAGAGGAAATAAGTCTTGCTTTACCCCTTTCTACCCTTGCTTTGCTGCCTGTCCGGCCCCCACAACCCGCAAGGAAGCCCCTAGTTCTTGTCTTTTCAGAGGGGCTCACCGTGTCATCTTAGCCAGCCCCCAGCTTCTTGCATGAGACATAGACTCAGGTCTCACCTCTTGATGACTTCTACCCCCATCCGGAAACAGCACACTCACAACACACACCCCTGACACCGAGCAGGAAGGGACCGTGTGCTGGCGGGCGCTGCTCCGACAGAGCCCTGGGGCAGGTGGCACAGGCCACAGAGCCTGTTGATGGCACGTGCTCATGCCCCATGACCTTCTGTGGATGCAGTCCTGCTGCATGTACAAGGTGACCGGAAGGATGTGGAAGAGGAGGGGGAAGCCCATTTGCACAAAAATACAGTGCTGGGAGGCCAGGCGAACCCAGATAAAACGGGGATGTATTCGAGCAGGTGGTGTCTGAGTCACATTTTCATGAGATTCTGTCACGAGCAAGTCACTGCCTGGCTTTCTCAGGGAAGGCCGCCATGGTCCCATCCTTTTGCGCTCGGCGGCGGCCCTGCCAGCCAACTTCTCTGCGCCTTCCTGTTCCTGCATCGGCTCAGCTCAGCCCTGCTCAGCAGCACCACCGTCTCAAGGTGCGGCGACCAAGGGTCCCGGCAGGGAGGACTACCCAGGAGAAGAACCCATTTGTTCCGGTTCCTGCCACTCCCGGTGACTCCTGTGTCTCCCTGGCCAGGTCTGATGCCGGGAGTCTGGCTTCTGGGGGAAAGCGCAGTTCCTGGCCCATTCCAGATGCTCTGCATCTCCCTTGGAGGGCAACACTTCACACTGGCCACGACAGCGTGTCTGGTGTTCCTGGCACCCATGCAGTCTTAGCTTCCAGAGTCTAGAAAGAACCATCCTCTCTCTCTGTCCTTTTTTTTTTTTTTAAGCTTTTAATTTTTTTTATCTTAAAGATGTGGGGTACAATTCAGGGTTAGGTATACAAATGATCATTATGCAGTTACCCTTGTTGAGCCGTCCTCTCAAGCCTCAGCCTCCTCATTCTCCACCTTTTCTCCTGTGTCATTTGTGATCCCATTCAGCAAGGCCAGTCCCGGACAACATTTCTCTTTTGGAGAAATGCCCTTTCAGGCCTACCTCTCACTTCCTGTCTCTAAGCTGATCTCTTTCCAGGCCGGATCAATTCCCTTCAGCCTGTGGGCACCCCAACTCTGGAACAGTCTTTGAAAATAAGCCCAGCAGAGGCTTGACCAAAGCTGACTTGCTAGTCCTTGCCCTGACCCTTTGTTGTTCTCTCAGAGGACCCAAAGGGGCTGGTCAGGCATGACCCCCTTGCTCACCCACCATCTGCCTCTCCCCTTGTCACGCCTCCTGAAGAATCTCATATTCCTATCCCCATTATCGAATTCTGTCTGCAACTCTAGGTTCCTCGGGACCCTTCCTTGGTCTCAAAAAGAGCCTGACCAGCCAGGCGCAGAGGTTCACACCTGTAATCCCAGCACTTTGGGAGGGCGAGGTGGGAGGCTTGCTTGAGTTCAGGAGTTCGAGACTAGCCTGGGCAACATAGTGAGACCTCAGCTCTACAAAAAAAAAAAAATCTTTAAACAAAATTAGCCAGGCGTAGTGACACACGCCTATAGTCTCAGCTACTTGGGAGCCTAGGGCAGGTGGATCACTTAAGCTCAGGAGTTCGAGGCTGCAGTGAGCCATGAGAATGCCGCTGCACTCCAGCCTGGGTGACAAAGTGAGACTTTGACTTTAAAAAAAAAAAAAGTTGGGCTCGGTGGCTCAGCCTGTAATCCCACGCCTTTGGGAGGCTGAGGTGAGTGGATTGCCTGAGCCCGCGGGTTCGAGACCCGCCTGGGCAGCAAGACCTCATCTCTACAATAAATCAAAAAATCAGCCGGGCGTGGTAGCGCGTACCTGTAATTCCGGCTACTCGGAAGACTGAGGCGGAAGGATCGCCGGAGCCCAGCAGGTCGAGGCTGCGGTGGCCGGGAGCGGCCACTGCACTCCAGTCTGGGCGACAGAGTGAGACTCCAACTCAAAAAAACAAAAACAAAAAACAGAACAAAACAAAACAAAAAAAAGAGCCTGATCATCCTCCTGCCCGAGGGCACTGGTACCAAACAGGACCACACCCTTAAGTGGTTTCAATATACACATCTTGGACAACACAAACTCAAACCCTAAATAAAATATCCCCTAGTTCCTCCTTTGCTTCAGTCGCTTCTGTAACAATATCACCCTCCACTCCCCACACCCCTCATCACCAAAGACCCTAAGGACCCTCCAGATACCAGGCAAGTTGCCTTCAGAAGCCAGAATGCTTTTTTCCCACAGGGAGGTCTAAGCAGTGGCCAGAAGGCAAGCAAAGGGCCCCAGCTGGATGAGGTGAGGAAGTGGCCCCCTCCTCTGAGTAGGCTGTGACTCTTGGGGAGCCTCTGGCGGACGAAGATGGCCGTGTGCCTGCCAGGGCAAAAACTCCTGGGGTCTGTGTGCCCTGGAAGGAGCCAAACTACTGTCCCCCCCGGGTCATTTCGAGTTGCCCACAGAGGCCCGGGAATGGCCTGACTTCTGACCCTTGGCAGTGGGGTGACACATCACAGCTCCTTCTGTAGCCGTGCTGTGAGATGCAGGGTCCCCCCAGCAGACAGGTGCCTGTGGTGAGTGTAACAGCCCCATCAACGAGGCGCCGGGCACAAGGATGTCCGGGAGGGAAGTCTCGTGCGCTCTCTTGCTTTGCTCTTCTGAGAAACCTAAGAGCACACTTACACTTGAGCCCCACTCAACAGAGCCAGAGCAGTTCTCCACTCTCTTTAGTTCACAGACACCTCACAACTGAACTGTGTTGGGGGGGTGGATCTGCCAACATATGCATGCAACAGAGAAGGGTACTGCCAGGGTCCCACAGCAAGGGATGGCAAGAGGTCAGACTCCAGAGTCCGTCATTCCTCCACTACCCCACACCCTTCCCTGGCAGGCCTACAGACTCGGACCCACAGAGGTTGAATTTCTGTTCCAGAACCAGTGCCCACGCCCACGGCCTCACACAGTGAAAAGGAGCCAGTCTTCCTGGCTGGGAAGGCCAGGGACGCTACTTCACTGCTCAGAGTTCTACCAGGCAGTCTGGGGAGAAGGGCACCTCCCCGGTGGGGAACAAGGATAGTATTCGCATTCCACTCTTCCATCCAAGGCCAAGCTGTACAGCCTCTTTCTTACCACCTCAGTTCCTCCCTCTTCTCACACCATCTTTGTACTTAGCAAGTCTGTAGGGGGCTCATGTCATCCGTGCAGGCCAAGAGCGGGACCCATAAGCCAGGCACAGCCACTTTCCAGACGCTGCACCTGGCCAGACACATAGGGCACCTCCTGTCCCCACTACCCCTCAGATTCCTGGTTCTGAGACACCTAGGGAAAGGAGTTTGCCCTGTTGCCGGGAGAAATGAGACAGTGCAGAGGGAAAAAAGCTGGACTTCTCACTAGCGTATTGGTAAATAGGTTAGTACAACCTTGGGTTGACAAGGAAGTGGCTTGCTTCTTGGTGGGGGGGACCCTAGACCTCTCCACTGTCTGAATATTCCATGTGTTTGTTTCCCTAGAGGGCTAGAGAACCCTGGACACAGAGTTCAGCAAGAGAGAGTGAAATTAAAAGAGGTTGTGAGTCTTTAACCTTGAGCCTGAAATGAATGTGAATCAATCCCAGACTCTTGGCTTCCTTGAAGCCGGGTAAACATTCGAGTATGTCGAACCCACCTCAGATGGGGCCTGTGCATTCCTCAGAGCCCCCCGACAATGGGCACGGGTCGCCTGCTCCCCTTGTGCTGATGAAACCAAAACATCTGGAACCTCACTGACCGGGTCCCTTCCTTTCCTTCCCCTTGCCCCCATTCCCAAGTGTGGCTTATGCCCAAAAATATCCCGCCTTTCGGGCAGGCAGGGAGGGGAGATGGAAGAGCTTTTTTTTCCCCCATCTTTTTTTCCATTTCAGCCGCAGAGAAAACCGAAGTGGAGACTTGAGATGGCCGTGGCGGGGTGTCCCGAAAAGTCTTGTCCCCACAGTCTTGTCCAGAGCAGTTCATTTTTTCTGTTGTCTCCATGCCAGGGGGAGGGCGGAGGGGCCTCATCTCATTGTGTGTCATCCCCTCTGCGTTGTCAGTCACATGACAGGGTCCTGCCACCACCTCCCCTCCCCCACACCTCACACATACACTAGGTTTTCCACTCAGCCTCTTATTGGCAGTTCAACCTCATGACATGCTGAGCACTAGACTGGATAGCTAAAATGATGGTTGTTATTCCCATTTTACAGATAAGAAAACTGAGGCCTGCGACACCGTTTTTTTGTTTTCACTTAATTGAGGGTGTCATGGCCCACTTCTCAGGAGAGCAGAATATGAGCAATCTCTACAGAGCCACGAGAAGAGAATCCAGGGGAAAGGACATCTCTGGGAGGCCTCAGTGGCCATCCTGGAACGCCAGCACTAAAGCAGTATCTGGCTGGGCCTCTTATTTAAAGCACAATTTCAGCAAGTGGGGCACCCTGGAGTCCCCAGCACGCAAGATGGAAAAGGGACAGAGGTGCTTTTTAGGAGACAAGGAAAAGTCAGCACTAACTAATAAGTGATGGCTGACAGCAAAGGAGAAAAACTTGAGTGGAAGGAACAGGCCAAACATGAGATCTCACATAAGGCCAAGAAGGGTGACTAACCAACTCCCCACGAAATTCTCCTCTGTGTACCCTAAAGTATAAGGCAAGGAACATATGACATGCTTTAGAAAGCCCCCCCCGAAACAGTAAAATAAACCTTCAGCGATGACATGTAAGATCATCAACCACAGTCATCTAGAAAATTCACTTCCACGGAAGAGGGCTCCCCCCACCAGTGCCCCACAAAGGAGTACCCCAGGGGTTCACCTGCAAGCTCAAGTCCTGAGACTTCAAGGGCCTCCCCACGACCGTCTCGTCCAGTCCCCTATTCCCCACAGGCCTGTGGTGCGGGGCGCCTGCTGCTCTGAGGGCGGATGTCACTCGGCCTGCGCACCGCTGCGGCAGAGGCTCCGACCTGGAGGCTTCGGCCCACCTTGTTTCCTCCACCTCTCGCTCCAGTCTGAGCAGGCCTGGGAAGAGGGGAGGAGGTGCCTCTGCCCCGAGTCCCATCAGACCCTTGAGATGACAGGCACGGCTCCCCCTCTCAGAAGTCCAGAGAAGGGACATCTCTCTTCCAAGTGAGGGTCCTGTCCCTCTGCACCTGGGAGGCAGGATGGAGGATGACCAGAGAGGTGTTGTGACTGGCCCACAGTCGGGCCGCCAGAAGTGGCAGAGCCAGGACTCACGCGCAGGTCTCCCTGCCTCCAAGTCCCGTGCTCTTTCCACTAGACTTGGAGACTCGATGACCAACCTCCTTCCGTGCTTCGGAGGAGAAAACTAAGGCCCCAGGATGTGTGGTTCACAACTGAGACACAGAAAGCGAAAGGACGTGCTGTTTTGGGGCTCAGTTCCACACACCCCCGGAATCCCACCTGGGGCTGGGTTTGGCCATCTGATTCCAGCCTCATTTTTTGGTTTTGTGTTTTCAAAGCACAAATAAAGAAAGAAAGTTTCCCAGGAAATACGGGACCCCAAAGCAAGCTCCAATGACTGGCCAGGGCTTTGAGTCTATACTCGAGTGTTTACCTCCCAAATGCATGAAGGAAAGAAACGCTGGGTACCAACGACCTCCGTTCACATTGTCCAGGCTTCCAAGTGTAGCCGTGTGTCTGTCCGTGTGTGCTGTGTACTCCCTGACCTTCGAGCGGCATGCTCCCCACCCCGAATGTCACCCGTCCGCCGGCTCCTCCGTGCTTTCTGGCTGCCTCCGCTCTGCACCTCAGAAAGCCCTGGGTTGGCTTTGGTTTGCTTTGCTGCCTTTGGTTTGATGTTCCCATTCCGTTTGGCCCTCGTGTGTCTCTCTCATTCCAGCTCATCCGACCGTCTCTCCTTTCTGTTCCCTTTCTGTTCGTGACACGTAACCCGTTCCATGTTGTGTGGTTTCTTAACTGTGTGTGGTTTTTTTAAGATTAATTTTTTAAAATAGCTTCTCCTCTTTCCTTCTTGATTCCCACCTGGTCCTCCTCCCCTTGTGCATGGTCGAACCTCTGCCGTACAGTTAACAAGGCTCAGTCTCTCACTAGGTCTGGGTGCCCGCCGGAGTCGACTATGCTTCCTTTAACCACTTTCCCGTCACCTCTCTGATGGTGCTTGATGATTCCTGTCTTAGTACTGTAGTTCCGACCAAAACCAAAGCAATTTTAAAAAACCAACTCATGGATGTGTGTAACCCAAGTCCCCTCCTCCACTCTTCCCATCTTGGCGACGCTCATGACGCTGGCGACGGTGGATTCCAGCACCTGCCGTGCCCTCACCCTGCTCCCCAGCCCCTCCTGCGAGCCCTGCAGAGCCCGGCTGTGGCCCGGGCGGCGATCCTGACCCCTGTGCTTCCCTTGCAGATCCGCGTCGTGAAGGCGTTCCGTAGCTCTCTCTATGAAGGTTTAGAAAAGCCTGAGTCTCGAACCTCCATCCATAATTTCATGGCTCATCCTGAATTCCGGATCGAAGATTCCCAGCCCCACATCCCCCTCATTGACGACACCGACCTGGAAGAAGATGCCGCGCTCAAGCAGAACTCGAGCCCGCCCTCCTCGCTCAACAAGAACAACAGCGCCATCGACAGCGGGATCAACCTGACGACCGACACAAGCAAATCAGCTACCTCTTCAAGTCCAGGGAGCCCCATCCACAGCCTGGAGACGTCGCTTTAGCTGAGGACCCTGTCGCCGCCCGCCCTCACGGACCCCGCGCCACCCGCCTCCCGGGCACCCACCCATCCAGGCACCCAACTCACCCAAGCAGCAACGAGCAACAACAGGAAACTAAATGCTGGAGAGAACACCAACGTTTCCACCACCAGACCCTTTCTCTGGCTGCGATGCTGTTTGAACTCTTTTTCACTTTGAGGCGAGGGCTGGATCTCTGCCGGGGGCTTGCGGGAGCGGAGCGAGTGCTTTTCCCAGAACGGGCCCTTCCTGGCTCCCGCCCAGACACGGACCAGCCATGCCCCCGCCCGGCCACCACGTCCCCCGCATGAATGTACTGTACACTTTCGGTCCTCCCTTTGTTTGGTTTCTGGGGGGCTGGGGAGGCTTTTTTTGTTTTCTTAGGCGGGAACTGCTAACAGACTCTTTTCTGAGACTATTTATCCAATCCACTGGTCTGTGAGTTTTTGAAATGCTTGCACAGCATGGTCTCAGTTGTATAGATTAATTTAATAACTTTTTGAAATTGCAGCTTAACTCGCCTAGTAGATTTGCACCAATGGAACCGAAGAACTTCATAGACACTCACAAGGTTATATCCATTTCTTTGTATCTATATCAACGTATACTTCTCCAAGACTGTATACGTCCATATAGATAGGTAGATATATATATAGATATATATATAGATATATATATATATAAATATATATACATGGATATATAAAGTTTCTTTGCCGGCATGTTGCCTTGTTTCCGCTTAAATTGCTCTATTTTAACTTATTTATGTCCTAAAAGAAGAATGTAATTTGTTTACAAACCTGTAGATAATGTCTTTGGCTATTTGTACGGTTGAAGAACACTGGTGGCCGAGATGCTGTGAAAACAGCTCGGCCCGATAGACACTTTTCCTGGATTGCATCCTTGATGTTTTACGATAGCCATGCTCTGATTTCTGCCTGCTATTTCCGTTTAATAATGTCACTACCGTGGGAGGCCCAGGCAGAAGCCAAATGCTACCGAGTCTCCATCCTGAAGGGTTGAACCACGTGCTCCGTAGACCAGGGGAGAGGAGGAGAGAAGGCTTCCTGGGTTTGCAACACTGACAGCCACCCCGGCCCGAGGATGCCAGGACCCGCAAAGCACTGGCTGAAGACTTTTCTCTCAATGAAACTCACTGGAGTTTACTAAGAGCATTTCAGAAAGAGGTTCTCTTTGGCACTGTCTGTACAGAGATTGAGGTAGTGCTGGAATATTATAAATGCTATTGTGTTGATTTTTTTTTTTTTTTTTAGTGACTTAGAGGTTTATTTCCTTATTAATGGCAGCGTTTGAGCTGTTGGCATATTGGATGAGGATCGGTATGGCTTGCTGCTTTTATTTTTATTTTTGAAGAAGAATAGCCTTTTTCTCTGCACTATTTAGATCCGAATGAACCTTATGATGTGTATATTGAGATGTATTCAGTGTGATTTTTAAACCAAATTGTCTTCCTGTAGTCACAATATATACTGTAGCCTTTTAACAGCAAGTCTTGCTTTCCCAAACAGAAAGCCATTCTGAAACCTTACAGTATCACAGGTGAGAAAAGGTGGTTATTTTCCCCCAAGACAATAACAGCACTAGTAACCCCACTTAATAAGAGCTTATTTAATTGTATGTCAGCCTCTTAACTGCTAAGCACTTTGTGGGTCTCAGCGTTTTTCATAAAATAACTTTTGTATTTAATACAAAGTTTGCTTTGAGACTTTTCAGCATATGATCTTTTCCATAAACTTGTACAGTGCAAAAGACATTTTGAATACCATGACCGATGATGTCCCATGCTTCAAGGAAAACCAAACTCTTTCCGCCTCGCTTGCGAAACCCAGTCCTCATGCTGACCCTTCCCTCAGTTGCGCTGTGTCACCCGGCCCCTTCCCCTCTCCAGGCCCAGAGAACTCTTCCGCAAACAAGATGAGAGCCACTTGGGAAAAGAGCCATAGTCAGCTGGGAAGGCCTACGTCTGGATGGCTGTGGAAAAACTTGACGGTTTGGGGTTCAAAGTGAGCCCATCCCACCTGGCAAAACCTTCCTGTAAGAAGGACCTTCTTTTCAAGAGAGCACCACCTGAATGTCGTGAAGAAATCTCTCTGAATGTATCCAGCAGAGGAAACTGCATCCCCACAAGGGGGATGACCAGCCCTCAGATGTGCTTTTCGGGTTCCGGTACAAACACCACCAAAGCCAGCCCACTGCTCTCCTCCGAGGAAGGAAAGTCCTGCACATGTGAAACATGGGCAGCCTCGGAACATGGTGTCTTCTGGAGTTTCGTGTCTCACAGTTTTCCATCCTCCCCTTTCTCTGTTCAGCCATGTGTCTGTGACCTCACTCTATGACGTCAGGAGAGGTCTGCTTGCATCCATGCTCCCTGTTCACTTGGAGCCAGAACGCAAGGAAAACAGGAGTTCTCTGAGCGGAGCCTCGCGTGGGGAGCAGGGATCGAGGGAAGGCTGCCAACATTCGCGTTGGGTTCCCTTGTCAGGAATGACGGACGCTCACACACACACGCACCCTCTCACCCTCACACTTGTACACACGTCCACACACACAGGAAACGGTTGGTTTGTCAAAACTCACTGTAGTACATAAAGCTTGCACTCTGCGTCCTATATCTAGCAGCATGGGGTACGTTTGGCAGTTCACCCCATTAGGGGGTAAATAATTTATGACCATTCATCTGTTTTTATGAATTTTTTTATCTAGACAATAATTGTAAATAAAGAACTCACCGTCTCTGTTCATTTAATACTATGCAATGGTTATGCTTTCAATTGCTGATTCTTCTGACTCCTGCAGTGTGGTTCTGAAATGTCTGTGGTTTAAAAAAAAAAAAAAGGCAAAAAACATCTAACAGAACATAGTAAATCTATATTATCTAGCGTATCCTTTTTTCTAGTTGGGACTGCACCACCCAGTGAGCTTTTCCGTTCTGCCCTGTGGACGAAGGCTCCAGGATGCCGTAGCAGAGTTTGTTCTGAGGACTAAGCTCACCAATGGTCTCCCTCAACCCTGACAGGTGAGGGAGGAACAGGGAGCCCATCATCCACCTTTGGAGGGGGCAGGAGTGCTCTGAGGAGTTTCCTTCCTGATCTCAGACAGAGCGTTCCCTCACACAGGAGCAACCTCCACTGCTCCTGCCAACCCCAAACCGTGGCCCCTTGGCCCAACCACAGCACAGAGCCGAGAAGAGGGAGGCTGCCCTGCTTCCGAGATGGGACCGATCACGACGACTGCACTGGACCAACGTCTCTGACCCTGTCTTGTCCTGCTTCCCCAGTAACAGAAGGGCCAGTCTTTTCCCAGCCATGTTGAAATGCCATCTTTACCACACAGGGACATCTTATCTCGACTGGGTCTATTTCTAGAATTTCCCTTCTGTCTCCTTACTTGGGTGTCTCATCTGGCATCAGCCACACAGTCTTACTTATTGTCACTTTATGTTTTATTAGATGGTGGGACAAGTCCCCTTTGTTCCTCTTTTATAAGCGTTCCTGTTTACTCTCTCACATCTGTTCTTCTAAGTAGACTTTAAGATTTTGACAAGTCCTCCACCCCCTACCCCACTTCCACCCCAGATTCTGGGCCTTCTCACTCTGTGTGCCATCAGCTTCCCCCATTGTAATTACTGTCCACTCAGGGCTGCAAAATAGAATGTGTCCTGCAAGGAGGGCCAAAAAGGGCATTCTGAATCTTGAGGACATGATGTTCCTCCCATCGTGTACCTGTCCCGTCACATGAGTTGCCATGAAAGGCCATCAAACCCCTACTCAATCTCAGCCTGGGAACCAAAGTCACCCACCTGGGTTGTGCTGGGCCACATCCTCCATCTGCCCCGACCCAGAGGAGAAAGAGGGGTCTCTCTCAGACCTGGAGGTGGGAAAACTGTATGGCCCAGGTGTCTGTACTTCTGTTCTCATCATGAAGAAAACTTTATTCCAATCCCCCTTTCCTGAACAGGTTTGGTTGTTCTTGTTTTGTTTGGGGGGGCACCTCTTGCTTTTTAATTCAGTCTCTCTTGCAATGCTGAAGGCATTTCTTGCTGGACCTTCTCAGCACCCTTGGGATGCAGGTGTTTCTTGCTGGACCTTCTCAGCACCCGTGCTCCCATCCGCCCATTCTTGTTTGGTATGGGGGGCTGCCAACTTGGTGCAATCTGGCAAGCCTCCCACCCAAATCTCTGTCCTGCCATAGTGTCCAAAAGCCCACCATTAGAGGATCTCATGGGGAGGGACATTTCTCGAAGGCTTCTGGGCCTTCCAGAGCCAAGCCCGAAATCAACAACAGTGAGTTCCCAAGTCTTTTCCAAGTTTAAAACCAAGCTTTCCTGATTTTAACGTGGAGATCATACCCGCCCAAGTGGGATAGGGGGATCCCTGGACCTGGGCAGCAACCATCACCCCCTCCACCGAAGGCAAGCTATTTGAGGCTGCTTTGGGACTGCTCTTCTCAGCCCCCAGGTCTGTTTTGTAATGCCTGTGGTGCTCTCCCTCCAAGGCCTTTCCTCTTGGGGGTCACCACACTTTGCTAACTCTCGTGTGCACATATTTTATAACAGAGTAGCGAGGGAATGGTGCCGCCTCCAGCTTCCACAAGCTGCCCGGGCTCTGGGGGGGCTCTGGGACAATCGGGGCTGGGAAGTGACTGTGCTCTTATTGTACACTCTTTATTTCTCTGTATCTCTGGCTTGTGCTCTTTGTAACTAATGGGATTTGTCTGCCTTTTCAACACTATCCTGAGCAATAACAATAAATGCACACGTGGAAATGCAGACACGGTACACATCACAAGGCCTTTTTCCGAAGGACAGCCGGGCCCTTGCTCTATGCGGATTTGAATTGGGGGAAACTGAGTCCCTGGGAGGGAAAGACACTTTGTCCAGGGGTGCACAGCTCAGTGGGAAGTTTCTCTTCTTCTACCAGGTCACACCTTTTGAACACCCACCATTTGTGGGAGACAAGCTTACCTCACCATGAGCCATTAACCTAGGAGGAATGGCTGGCCATCTTAGAGAGGTAGACTTTGGGGAAAGAAACCCAAGAAGAGAAGGATATTTGGGAGGGGAGTGGGGGTGGGATACAAACTGGGGAGAGTTAAGAACAGCCTGATTTGGGGTCTGGATTAACCAGAGGGAGGAGATAGGAAATACAAACATAGAATATAGGTGGCATCCCCCTACTGGAAGGGGTAAGACAGAGGGAAGCCTGGCTCCCTCCGAGTCTGAACTTTACAAATCCCTGCTAAACATCGGCAAAGAAAGAGAATATGCCCAGACCAAGAAACAGCCCCTAAGGCTGACCAAAGTTTGAGGGTTACACACACACACACACACACACACACACACACACACGCAATCCCAGCTCATCACAGGTTGAACTGACCCTCAGATCAAGCACCACAGGCCCATCCAATTTCCAAACACAGTTTCATATCCAAGGGCTCATTTATTCCCAACATCAACCTTCAGATGAGGTGTTGTTATCATTCCCACTTAAAAGAGGAGGAGAGAGCTAGTGTTCAGGTAACTTTTGATTTAAAAGAGACAGAGAGAAGGAGACAGCAGCTTAGAGAGGTGAAGAGCATGCCCACCTAATACGTAGGAGATACTGCATTGACACCTGGGAGTCTTGATGCCAGCATCAGCACTCTAAGCCTCTATATTACAGTGCCTTTTGGCCCCACCAGCAAATACCTGAATGAGTAAGATACAGTTCCATTGCTTGTGCCAAATACCCAATCTCCTTGACTTCAAGGTCTAACAAAGAAATTATTTTAATAACAATCATGCCTCGTGCATTATAATTATATTATTTCTAATATGCCCTTGTCCCCATTTTCAACTCATGGACAGTAAAACTCTGACAGAAGTGACTTGACCTTATCACCTAGACGCCAGGCCTGTCCCTTGAAGGAGACTCAAGACACCCATTTGCCTTTGTTTCCTGCTCTACCCTAACCATCACCACCTTACACTCCTACAATGATTTCTCCATCAGAGAAAAATACAAAATTTTGAAAGCTGGGGTGAGTGGAAGAGTGGGTTGCTGCTCCAAGGCCTGCCCTTAGTTCTGTTGAGGCCCGGCTCTCCCCCCATCCCCCGCAGAGCTCCTTGAAGTCTGAGTCTGTCACAGTCTGAGCCTTAGCATCTCCCCTCACGTGGTGACCATCTCCAGCTAAGGCGCTTACTCCCAGTTTCAACAGAGGAAACCGAAGGATTGTGACTTACTCGAGGGGAGCCGAGGCATGTCTAGGTGTCTCCTTAATGTTATGCGGGAGCCCAGGGCTAGACCATGTGCTGCTGAGGAGAGCCCCAAGGCTCTGTCCCCTGCAGTGCAGCATTCTCAGTACTATGCTGTGTTTTCAGCTGTCTCCCCTTGGGAAACCAGAGACCTGAGGGTTGGGTCCTGGGCTCTAGCCACAGGAGCTTGGCTGAGACCCCCTCCTTGCCTGGGGGAATCCACCTGAGGGACTGTGGAAGGGGCAGTTTGGAGGCTCCTGGCTTAGGGAGGGCAGGGCAAGAGGTCTCGGCCTTTGGCGAGGGGCATTCCCTGGCCTCCTCTGTCCTGGTCCCAGTCCTCGGGTGCTGAGGAGGAACTAACACCAAGCAAGCACTAGGACTACCCCCCCCCAGAAAAAGTACTCAGCCTACAGTAGCCATCATAAGGCCGGGGGTACCCAGAACCGCAGGAGGCGGGTGACACTGTAGTTATTAACCCTTTCTTTTATTTACGGATCTCAGGAAAAGGCAGGCTTGGGCAGGAGAGAAGACCCACTAGACCTTCAGATTCCAAAACTCCCAGTCAGGGTCGTCATGGTAACCAGAACCACGCCCTGGGGGACCCAAACGTTACGCAAGGATAAGAGGCGGGGCTACGGGAGGGCGAGGCGCTGCCCCCAGAAGGCGCGGAACTTCCGTGCTAGCAGAGCGTGTTGCTGCCGGGAGGCTCCTGAGCCTCGGCCCGACGGCTTTGACGTGCCGGCGCCGGAAGTGAGCTGTTCGGAGGCGCCGCCGGAGCTGCCACGTCCGAGGCCTGGAGCCGCCGCCGCCGCCGCCACAGCCATGGTGAGTTGGGACTGGGGAGGCCGAGCGGGGTTCAGGCCACGGCCGTGGCCCTCACGGGCTCCTTGGCCGGTAGGCGGTTCAACTCCCCTCCACTGCTTCGAGGTTTGGGGGCCTCTGGCCGTGTCCTGCTGACCTTTCGGAGGGGCCGGGGTAAGGCCGCGGAACCTTCCTGACTGCCGGCCGCGCCACTGCCGCGTCCGTTGTCCGTCCCCTCCTGTCCTTCTCTTCCGTCAATAATTGAAAACAAAACCAAAAACACCGTAGGAGCCATGTACCCCGAGCCCTTAGTGAGTTCCAAACGTTCATGATCGCAGCCTGCTAACAGCCTTGTGAAGTAGGGCCCGTTCTTAGCAACACTTTACAGATGAGAAACCTGAACTTCAGGGAAGGGAAGCCTCTTGCCCAGCTGGTAAGCGGCAGAGCCGAGATCTCAGCCCTTCTAACCGGTCTGTTCTGCCGCCCACTGCCTCTCCCCGCAGAGATGATTGAACACTTGCTGGGTGCGGCGTCCCCATGTGTGGCGGGCACTTGAGGAAACCGATGTCAGGATAAACTAAACGAGTCTGAGGGCAGGGTCCGCCTTTTAAAATCTGTTTGGCCTCGTTAGGGTGTATTCACTCCTCACTTATTGATTGAATGAAAACTAATGGATGAAAGTAACTCTAGACTGGACCTGGCACAGTATAGCAGTAAACTCATGCTCTTAGGAAAATGAGTGAGCCTCAGAGCAGGTTTGAGGGGACCTGCTGGAACCCAGATATCAGAACACTGGCTTGGTTCTTGCACCGCGGGGAGGTAGGTGTAAATCACTCACCTCTGCGGCCCCTCTGGTTCTTCCATGAGGAACAGAGTTGGGGGCTCATGCTCTGACATTCAGCTCATTCTGAATGAATGAAGTTTTAACTCATTATTTGATTTTGAGGTGGTGTTAACAAGAATTAGCTAACGCCAGGTGTTCAGGAGAAAGTACTCTAAGTGCTTTGAAACATCCTCCCCTCCCCCTCCTCCCTCCCTCTTTCCCTTCCCAACATTTGGTAACCTGGTACGAGTCCCTCAGCCATTGGATTTAAGGAATTCAGTGTAACAACTACTTTCTGTTCTAGGTAGTCAGCCTGGTGGAGTAGAAAGCTTTGTGAGCTGGGAGTTAGGTTGGGGGTGGGGCTCTTTTCCCTATCTTTAAGTGGCTCTGTGACTTTGGCAAATGCTTTCTTTTCTCTGGGCTCCTTCAGTTCCTTAGTCTGTCCAGTGGCTCTGATTGACTCCACCCTTGGTATCTCCCAGTGCACATGTGAAAGCACTTTGTAACCTGTACAACTCAGCACATGGAGGAGATTTTTCATCCTCTTTACTTGCTTTTACAAACCTTGGGGACCCATTTTTTAGGGAGTCTAGAATTTGATGAGAGAACCTGTGCTTACTCGGTATATACCTCTTGAACTGCTTTGCAGCCATCCTCTTCCGTGTCCACCTTCCTGAGAAGTCAAGTCAAACTGTATACGTACAGGGCTTGTGTTGGGAAAAATGAAATGGGGAACATGGTAAGAAATGTCTGTCCCAAACTGAAACCTCCTTTCAGTCCCCTTGTCTATCCCAAGAATCTAAGAGAATAGTGATTGAGCAAAGAAAAAATACCAGTTTTCGTTTATTTATTCATTCAGTAAATAGCCACTAGCCACTGAGTTCCTTCTGTTTGCAAAGTCCTGTGCTGGATGAATTGAGGGAATTCAAAACTGCAAATAGCTCAGGCCATGGCTGCAGGGAAATCACCTTCTAGTGGGGAGAAGAAACAACATCAAGTTTGTTGTAGGCGACCAGTGCTGAAGAGAGTCCAACCATTTGGGGATCTGAGAATCTTAGCAACACTTTACAGATGAGAACCTGAGCTTCAGAGAAGGGAAGCCTCTTGCCTAGCCGGTAAGTGGCAGTGACTAAGATCCCAACCCTCCTAACCATTCTGTTCTGCTGCCTACTGCCTCTCCCAGCAGAGCTGATTGAACAGGTAGATTCTTGGTGTGGTGCCCCCAGGTGTGAAGAGGAGTTGGAAGCTGGACCTCAAAGAATGAGTAGGAGAATGATGACCATGCAGCATGTTCCAGCCCTACAAAAACTGTTCAACCCTGGATACTGCTAAGTGACAGTCTAGGGTCCATCACAAGTGGTAGATGAGGGAGCAGTCTTAGAAAAACTTGAATCAGTCTGCAGGTTCTAGGTAATAATCCTGTTAGACATAAACTGCCTGGAACATCAGAGGCTCTGTCATCCAGGAAGGGAACACCAGCTCCAGCTCCCTTGGGTCCCTCCTCACCCTCAAGGGTAGCCAGGACTGCTTGCCCTCCCTCACACGGATCAAGCTCCTGCAGACCTTTCTGTCTTTGCTTGTATTATTCCCACTGCTAGGGTTGTACTTTTACCCCTGTGCCACCTGGCAAATTCTTACTCATCTTATGGCTCAATTCATACTTAGCTCCACTGCCTCCCCCCACCCCACCCCCAATAGCATATGGTAACTACCATTAAAGGATTCATCTTGCCATATTCGGGTTATTTGAGAAGTGCAAGCTTCTCAGGGGCAAATGTACCTTTTATTCGTGTCTGTATCTCCAGTCCCTGGCATAGTGCTTGGCAAAAAGAAGACACTTGGAGTGAACGTTTTCTGAACGACTGAGTGAGCAAACAAATGTAGTTAAGAATTTTAGAAACGTGGCAGA